TAGTCTAAGTACAGAGGTAAAGTTGAAGGAAAAATGCTGTATTATTTAAGAATCTCTTCTTTTCTCTAGAGAAACAACTATTTTAAATAAAGGAATTGCACACCTACCCATCCATAAAAACAAATCTCAAATGCTTAAATTTTAATGTTAGGCTGTAATCAAAGGTAAATGTTAATGTTATTCATAAAAGTCTATGTATAATAAATACTTCCATAGATGATATGTAAAACAGGCAAGAGGGACCCTTGTACATAATTAAAAACGATTATTTCTGGAAATACACGAACTACAGCTCTTATTTTGAATTATAGCATTTCCGTATCTGGTACAAAGTAGAGGCTCATTCACATGATAATAACTAACTGGGCTCACAAAAACAAGGTGAAAAACCAGTTTTAATTAGTAGAGGAAAGACTAAAAGATCTACTTTTTATGTTAACCACATCTGATGCCAAACACATGATATAAACACATAAGGTTAGAACTCTCACTTATTTTATATTTACTTATCTAAGTAGTTCTTAGCATTGATAAAATGAAAACTGATAGAAAAATAAAGACATTTTAAGAATGCATTAATAGTAAGTAATGTTAGAAATGAGAATATTTATAAGAGCGAAAGGGCCTTCAAATATTTAGATTGATGACTATTATGCTGACAGAATATAGCAAACAACTTCAATTAGAGGAAGAGGCAAAATTAAAAAAAAAGATAACACATTTGGTAGGTTCCTTCAAAAAGCTTGAAATAAGGAAGTATCAAACTATATAGCATATAAGAATTAGACAAACTCTCAACTACAGCATATGTTATTGTGACAACAGGTAATATATAATTAAGAAAGATCTGGAGGTTGGAAGAAAACAGGACAAAATAAATTAGTTATAGTATTTCTTAAATAAAAACACTTACAACTTTCATAATTGATTTTTCCCATGCTATTGATTTCTGTAACTGCTGAATGCACAGAGCTACCTGTGCAGCACTGCGAGCTTCTGATAATGCCCTTCTCCATACCCTGAGCCCTGGAGCAATATCCTCTTCAATTCTGCATTGAAATATAGAAAAATTAAGTAGGTCATGTCCACACTTATGGTTACTGAATGTGAAACAATCATCACACTGAAAGCCAAGCAATGACAAAAACATGTAACAGCCAATAAATATAAGGTTTAAGCAACTAAATTTGATGTAGTGCACAGACTGTGGCTACGTGCCTCAAAGCTTAGTCACAACCAGGTAAATGTAAGATCACTTTGCAGGATTATCAACGCACATAACAAAAAAAAAAAAATGTTTTTACAAAGCACCATGCAAATAGCATGATCCATATGGATCACAGACATACAAGAAGATACATAGATAACAGGCAATAGAAAATAGGCTCCAATTAGCAAAGAAGCACAATAATTTTTCAAGTTAATCTCAATAACCTACCCGTCACCATCACCACTAACGGATGGTGCAGGAGCAGGGACAGTAACTGTGCCCACATTATCCAGTTTGATCTGAATGGTGGTACTTAAGGGGCTCTTCAGATACCTTCTTTCAATGTTCCGCTCCAAATCAGCCAGCCTGGTTACAGCTATATCTAGGGGGTTGTCACTCTTCCGTTCTAGTGCATGTGCACTGCTTTCTTCTTCACCAGTAAATTCTCCATCATGTTCCTTGCACAATTTAGTAAATGACTTATGTTCAAAATATACCAAGTCCTCCCTTTCTGATGCAGGCTCTGGACACATCCAACCCTATATATCAAGAGAACAGTGTTATTATGGTTTTCTCTTAAAATGCCAGATGGGCGAATTACCTTTACTTAAAATACAGCAGTGGACACTGGCAGATCTCAAGGATCCTTATTGAAGGTTTTTACCTTGTGTTTCCTAATGCGAGGCAGAAACAAGAACAAAAAATTAAGAGTAGTTCTAAGAACAGCTAGAAAGAGAAAATTTAACAACTTTTAATATTATGAAAGGTATAATAAAAATAAGCAAAGTATTTTCAAAGATTTTAGACTAATATGCTTATTATGATAATTTCCTAGGGTCACTTATATGGAGATGTCTCCTTAGCATCTCAATTTTGCTCTTCTTTGCTTCACTCAATTTGCTGTTCTTCTGTATAGGTCCTTGTACTCACCATATTTCCTTTGACTGCAGGGGCTTTGCATAAGCTGTTACTTTTGTCTGTGTAACTTGTCTCTGCTCCTTTTTACCTAATTAACTTCATTAGTCCTGCAGCTCTTATGTTAAAACTCACCTTCATATGAAGGGATCCCCTAAGGCTGTGGTTCTCAACCTTCCCAATGCTGTGACCCTTTAATACAGTTCCTGTGGGTCACAACCCATGGTTCAACTGCTGCCCTAAGGGGAATCCTTCCCTGAGCGCCTTCAAGAGGCAAATCTCTGTTACAGGCTGTCACAGTCCTATCACGGTCACAATTTTATACTAGTGTGATCATTTTATTACTATCTTTCTATCTCTAAATTCTATGAGGGCAGGGACCATGTCTGGTTTTACTCATTTATCTTCAGCGCAGGGAAGGCAAATAATAGTCACTTAATACATTTATGTTGACTGAATAAATGAATGATCTTATAACTTAGTTTGTTTATATTGATTCCTTAGCTCAAAATCCTTCAGTGATTTCCTACTATTTAACAAAGTCTCAAATCTTTAACATGACATTCAAATACCTTAGTCTATCTCTTCCAGTGTTCCCATTCATATATCCTATACAACAAATTCTATGACTTTTATTTAATAAGTTTCCAATCCTGCTGATCTTCTCATGCTGTTCCCACTTCCTACTATGGCATTCCCTGCTCTCTGTCAAAATCTCGCTTGTCCTCTTAAGTCCCATCTCAACTTCTACATGAAATCTTTCCTAATCTCTTCCATATTTCCACCAGAAGTAGATATTCTTTCTCTCAATTCATGCATTACTCTGTACTTCTCTATGATCAGCGACAGTGCACATACATAGTAAAACGATAGTATAGTATGATGTGGATGATAAAAACCTGGTATAAATTCAAATAGAAGTATAGTGCCAGATTAAGGAAAGGAGAAGTCCCATGCTCAGAGTTAAACATCTCTCTGTATACTTATGGGTACAACATTTTAATAACAATACTGAAACTGGTGCTTATTCAGAAGATCATGGACCAGGAAACCTTTTCATGGGACTAACAGTTGAAGGAATTAATTAAGTTGTAAAATAGAAAATTTAAGAAGAAACATAGGAGCCATCTTTAGAGGAGCTAGATGTATCAGATTTTTCTGAGATTGGTGTGTCCCCACCTAATGGGCACAATGTAATAGTATATGGCACACCTCCTGGGTGCCAGATACAACAACTATAGCAGGGGTCTTACCTAACAAACACAAACATTGTAACCTAATTGTCTGTACTCTCTTATTAATCTGAAATCTAAAAAAACAAAACAACAGTATTAAAGTAAATTTTAAAAAAGCAGACTCTTTGTATGCTCTCAACAACAGAACTAGGGCTGGAGACTCACAAATTTTCTCACAATATAAAAAACAAGCTTCCAGGTTATTAGCAATTCCAACCAACCAACATTGAAAATAACAATGAATGCATCTAAGTATACCTAGACCACATACTTTGTGTACCTTAACAATGGCTATTTCCAAGGCTAAATATGTGACTCTTCTTTTTAGAGAAAAAGCAAAACCCAAAAAACTATTAACTTCCTTATAGATGTTAAAATAATGTTTTGAGGCTATTTTCATCATTTTTTCACCACTTGTGTTCTTAGACTCTTTACTCTAACATAATTACAGTACAATTTTTAGTATAATATAAAATAACTCAGTAATATCATTTTTTTTTTTTTTTTTTGAGACAGACAGAGTCTCACTATGTTGCCCTGGGTAGAGTGTCGTGGCATCACAGCTTACAGCAACCTCAAACTCTTGGGCTTAAGCAATTCTCTTGCCTCAGCCTCCCAAGTAGCTGGGACTACAGGCGCCCACCACAACGCCTGGCTATTTTTTTGCTGTAATTGTCATTGTGGTTTGGCAGGCCTGCGCTGGGTTCGAACCCTCCAGCTCTGGCTGGTGCCCTAGCTGCTGAGCTACCGAGACCAAGCCAATTCAGTAATATCTTATCAACAGGATGTTAAAACATCCCACTTAAAAAGCAAATTCCACTTATCTTAGGTATTGAAAACATAGCCAAACATTTAAGCAGCCAGCAATGTGGTAAGGTCAGGGCACTCAAATCTCAGTATGACACAGGAAAATGTTTCAGGTTCATACTCTGACTCTATACATAATTTTAAAAAGCTTGATGGTGGCAAATTAGTTGAGAGAAAGCTGGAGGAAATTTAAACCAGCAAAGTAGTAACAACTGACCCACAGAGAGAACAAAGACAGACCACAGGAAGCAGACTATTACATTAGAAAGCACAGCACACCAACAACATTTACGGTAGAGGCAAAACTTCACATTTCCTGAGGGAATCATTGTCTAATAAGTGGTCTTCATACTGATGATCTTGTGTCACCAAGATAATTTAATTATACTCATTATTCTCAATTTAAGAAGGCAGTAACATGCATAACATAAGAGATAATGACAAACATGTTAAAAACGTATAGCATTAAATGGAATAATTTTTATTTCTCCAGAGTTCATTTGTTGAAGCTGCCAGGTAAATGAGGCATTTTTATATTGTATTATAGTACCAAGAGGAGGAGTAATAGTATGCTAGCACAACAGCTTCAACAAATGATAAATTTTTGCTTCCCAAGTTTGGTAATTATATTTGTGGCAAGGAAGGGATTTTTTTTTTTTT